TCCACTTAACCCATTCCAACAAATTTTATTTCAGCTCAACTCAACTCACATAAACTATCCTTAATTTTAGCGGTTGAATTTCAACCGCTGGGCGAACACTAGTATTAATTAAAAGATAATTTGTCATCCGTCTGAAATAAAAAAATTTAAATCAGAAGGATAAAATAGTATTGTGTTATTAATTCAAAAGTAAATAATTGTAGTTCATTGACGAAGGGGGGATCTATCCCCCCAAACCCCCCTCCGCCCCCTGGCTACGCCACTGTTCATCATATCATTGTCTTCGGAAACTCCTAAAGATGAAAAAAATTAAAAAGCTTTGCAATAAATTAAACAAGTTTTGTTTCGTTTATGGTAAATTCGTTTTGAAATCAGACCAGTGTAAATTAGTCTCAAATAAAAATGCACTATCATGCTTTAAATGGTACTTTTTGCCATCTGAACCTGCACAAAATAAATACACTCCCGAATTCACATGTATTTCGAGCATTAGTGCGATGAATTTTTGGTGGACAAAAAAAACGATTTTCGTTACCATTCGGTTTACCAATGATTTGGACAAATCCCGGAAAATACGAAGCGGAAAATTGTTATGCATGCACCAACAGTACATTTGGTTTCAATCGAAAAAGTAAGTAAATTTAAATAAAACCTTAATCGCTGAGTGTATGAAATAGGTAAAAGTTTCTGTATGTTTGGAAGGTACCACGCCTAAGTATAACCAACTTTTGAAAGTCTGCAGTAGATGTCCAAATTAAAAAAAAATGGTGCAGAACTTTTTTAGTTTTTGTCCGCCGAACAAACAAACTTAACATTTGTATATCGATGGCTGATTGGAAGATCTACCTATCTCGGCAGCCAGTTCGAAAACGCCCTATCTCAGAAAACTTTTCAACAATGCCCTGCTTAAGAATTTGATTGAAGAACGCACTATTTCAGAATTTTATTGAAAAACATCCTATCTCAGAATTTTGTTGAAGAACTCCCTATCCCAAAATACATTGAAAATGTGCTGAGATAGGGCGTTTTTAAATCGGCAGCTGAGATAGGTCGATCTTCCACTCAGCCATCGATATATGCATATATATGTACGTACATATACTCATAAATATTTAATTCAAGAGATCGGTCTTGTGTCGTCTACAAAGGTGTACCGAGCGCTCATTTACCTGTTGCACATAGTGATGCATTACAAGTTCCAAATCATCCATCCGATCTCGAAACTATCTATGATTGCAAACAGTCTATGGCAACGCCATTACCACTTGCAGATGGATCTCATTACATTCCGATAGAAAACAATTTACCGTCTTTCATATCCCAAGAACACCTAAACAGCATGGTGCGTAAATTAAATCTCTCCCATAACAACGCAATGATTTTGGCATCAGAACTGAAAAGCGTGAATGTTTTGGCACCAGGAGTAAAAGTAACGACCTATAAACATAGACAAGATCCTTGTATGCCATATTTCAAGTTATCGGAAGATGGCACTCAGGCTTATTGCATTGATGTTGCAGGATTGATGAATTAAATGGGAATTACTGACTATAAACCCGAACAATGGCGTCTCTTTATTGACGCAGCAAAGCGAAGTTTGAAAGCAGTCTTGCTCTATCGCGATAGTAGCAAGAAACCCGTTCCCATCCTGTATGCGGTTGGAATAAAGGAATCATACGAAACAATGCAATTAATCTTAGATAGCATCAAGTACGAAGAGCACAGGTGGCGCGTGAACTGTGATTTTAAAGTTCTCTCACTACTATCAGGCATGCAAACGGGCTACACTAAATACTGTTGTTAGTTCTGTAATTGGGATAGTAGAGCCAAACGCAATCACTATACCAAATGTGATTGGCCAAAAAGAAAGGAACAATCGAATGGTCAATTCAATATAGTTCACGAGCCCTTGATAGTGCTTAATAAAATCATGCTTCCCGATTTACATATCAAACTTGGTGTTGTTAAGAATTACATTAAACAGTTGGTTAGAGTGAACGAAACTGCATTCCTATATTTGAAAAATAATGCCTTTCCAAAACTTTCCGTTGAAAAAATCCGTGAAGGTAGTTTTTTGATTGTATTTGAGTGAAAATCTCTCAAGTGGTTGCAAACCGAATAAAGTGATTTATGCGAAAATATCTTGACCGTCCAATTTTGGGTGGCCCATTTGAGAGATTTTCGCTCATATATTTTATTATATCTCTCTCTTGCTTTAAGAACCCTATAATTTTTATTTCAGGTGTACTTAATGGGCCGGACATCAGAAGATCAATGAAGGATCAAGGCTTCTTGCAAATTCTTGATGGCACAGCAGCCGTAGCATGGGATGCAGTTCGGGCTTTAATTAAACACGTTCTGTGTAAAAATCGTTAACCAGAATATGCCATTTCTATTGCGAACTTGATGGAATCTTTTGACGCCTTTGATGTGCACATGTCGCTTAAAATCCACATGCTACACAGTCACTTTGCCTTTTACGAGCAACAGCTTTCAACAGAAACCGACGAGGTAGGAGAGAGATTTCACCAATCCATTATGTGTTTTGAGGACCGATTCGCTGGAAAACGATTGAATTCAATGTTGGCGGACTTTTGCTGGTCGATCGCAGGATGCAAAGGATATTAAAAAAATCATTCGAGCAATAGAAACTAGCAAAATATGCCAAAACTGGATTGAAGAGAACCCAAATTTAGGTCCCAATAGTATATAAACAATCTAATCTAATAAATATTATAAATGTGAATGTTTGTATGTTTGGATGTTTGGGAAATCATCACGCGGTAACGACTGCACGGATTTGCATGAAATTTTGTACGCAGATAGCTTATGGGCCATATTGGTTAATAGGCTATTCTCTTAAGAGTTGCCACCTGTGAAAAAAGTTTCATTTATTTAATATGCGGGAACGACTGAATGGATTTGCATGAAAATTTGCACACAGATAGCTTATGACCCAGAATGGAAAATAGGCTACTTTTCTTAAGAGTTGTCACCTGTTAAAAAGTTTCATTAAATTAATACGCGGAAATGACTGAATGGATTTGCATGAAATTTTGCATGCAGATAGCTTATGACCTACAGTGAAAAATAGGCTAATTTTTTGGAAGAGTTGCCACCTGTTAAAAAAGTTTAGTTAAATTAATACGCGGAAACGACTAAAATGATTTGCATGAAATTTTGCATATAGATAGCTTATGACCTAGGTTAGATAGTAGGCTACTTTTTTTAAGAGTTGCCACCTGTTAGAAATGTTTAATTTAATTAATACGCGGAAATGAGTGAACTGATTTGCATGGAAGTTTTCACACAGATAGCTTATGAGCTAGGTTGAAAAATAGGCTCCTTTTTTAAGAGTTACCACCTGCTAAAAAGTTTAATTGAATTAATACGCGGGACTGAACGGATTTGCATCAAATTTTGCAACCAGATAGCTTATGACCTACAGTGGAAAATAGGCAAATTTTTTGGAAGAGTTGCCACCTGTTAAAAAGTTTTAATTAAATTAATACGCGGAAACGACTGAGCAGATTTGCATGACATTTCGCACAGAGATAGCTTATGACCTATGTTGGAAAATAGGCTACTATTTTAAGAGTTATCAAGTATTAGGAAATTTTAATTAAATTAATACATGGAAATGACTGAGCTGATTTGCATGAAAGTATGCACACAGATAGCTTTTGACCTAGACTGGAAAAAGGCTACTTTTTTAAGAATTGCCACCTGTTTGAAAATTAAATTTTGCTCAAAGATGGTTTATGATCTGGATTGAAAAATAGGCTACTTCCTTAACCGGTTTTCCGATCAGAACGAAATTTAGTACTCTTACTACGGATTTCCTAACGATGGTCTTAGACTGAAAGTAAGTCCGATAACTCAAGGCCCCTCCCATACAAATTGGAATTTTCATATTACATACATATCTCTGGAAGTATTTGTGGGAGAGAACTGAAACTTGGTATAGTGATATGTATGTGAAATCAATGTTGGCATTAATCGATTGATGTTTTAATTAGTTAGTTAATTCGATTAAATTCAATCTGATTACAGTTAATCACGTTTAATTTTAATCCGACTAAACAGTTAACCGTAACCGCGATTAAAAAATTAATTTTTAATCATTAACTCTTAATTTGATCAAGTGGGTTTGGTGATTAATTAAGTTATGCTGGAATTTTCCTGTGCACACAAAGCAAGTTAATCCAGTATGGCTAAGTCGGGTTTCCTCATCAATCAAAGCAATTTGGTGTGCATTTTCATTAAGATATATGTATACCAACAAACGTTTTACAAACTAGGTTTGTAAAAGTTCCCAGTTTATGTATTACTAATAACAATTATTATTATTTTTTTATATTACGTGCTTTTTATAAGCGTAAAACACAAAATAATTACTATAACTGGTGTTTGGTTTCAAACTCGGACAAATTAGACAAATTAATCAGATTTTATTTTTAATTGGATTAACGATTAATGTTTTAAATTAAATTAATTAAACGTAATAGCAGCCAGCGATTAACGATTATAAAAAATGTTATCATTAATCGTACAGTTGATTACGACTAATTAATTTTAATCTTCAAACGCGATTAACATTTCAATCGTTAATTTTTAATCGTTAATCAGATTAACAGTTTTCCAACACTGTGTGAAATCATGTTCATATTCACGGAGAAAAATGGACGTTTTTGGAAAAGAGGCGTAGCACCTCCCATACTGACTGAAAGTTTCATATTGCATATCTCTTCAAATGTTTGGGGTAAAGCACTCAAGCTTGGTATGGAAATACACATGTATGCATGTATGTATGTGAAACTAATACCATACTCATAGAGAAAAATGAGAGTTATTGGATAAGGTGGTGTGGCAACTCCCATGCAAATTGATTTTTCAATGCTGCATATCTCTGGAGGTGTTTATTGCAGAGGACTGGAACTTGGCAGCGAGATGTGTATACCAAATTAATTCCATAGTCATAGAGAAGAAGTTGTGTTATTCGAAAAGGGGACATGGTTCCTGCCGTACAAATTTACTGTTTTATACTGCTTATCTCTAGAGGTGTTCATGGTAGAGTACTGGGACTTGGTACTGGGGTATGTTAAATCAATTCTAAATTCATGGAAGAAGATTAGGGTTATAAGAAAAAGGGGCTCGACACTTCCAGTACAAATTTACTTTTTCTTGCCACATATCCCTGGAAGTGTTTGTGGAAGACAGAATAAATTTCATTAAATGAAAAAGGGAGAGCCGGGTTCGACCTTATAATCTAAAGCTCTCTTGAGGCATTTGCTACAGTAATGAGAAGTGGTATTTAATCAAGGACAGGTTACTAAATTTGAGTTGGAAATATTAGAACTCGCCGTGGCACCTCCAAGAAGGTTTCACGTTCACGCGTCGTATACCTGGAAAACTTTTAAGGTAAACTTAGAGGGAGGAGAGAGGAGATTTTATAATTTCATAGTTTTAAATGGCCTAAATACCTTAACTCGCTTAGAAAATAACGAGCTATAACGAAATGGGCACAGAAATAAAATCTAACATCATTAAATTATTTTTCCTATTTGTATAAAAGCGCGGGGTGGAACCCGCGGGTATAAGCTAGTAGTATATAAACTAATATTATAAAAAAATATTACGAAATAAAATATGAGCTGTAACGCAAAACCACATATCTGAACAATCAGTTGTATGGGAGCTAAATGTTATAGTGAAGTGATTTCCATGATTTTCAGAAATAGCTAAGGTAATATCAAAATACAGTCACGTGCAAAAGTTTAGTAAAATAACCTTAAAACTGAGGTAATTATTAACAAAAACCCTAAAATTTAAGCAGATTTTCAAGCACCGTTTTCTCAAAAACTAGAGCCAATCTGGAAAATGGGACGACGCCATTGAATTTAAAAGATCCCAGTTAAGTAAGATCAGTTATCAAAACCTTTGCCCAGCAAAAAATTTAAAACCTGAGCACAGTGTTTTAAACGACGAAAAATTCACTTTCAGAACTCTAAAACTTCCCCCGTAAATATCTCAAAATTTTGACGTGATACGGATTTTCTGAAAACGCCATCGTAAACTAGAGGCCAAAATTAAGTTTACGTGTTTGGCCATTTGGCTGTGATATTTCAAAACCTTAAAATTTACCTACAGTGTTATGTATAAATTGCCACTAAGCAAAAATGCATGAGTAAAGAAGACGAGTGCAGCACCG